AAGAAGTTCAGCACGATCCTGTGGGTTCATGTCTTGAAACTCTTGAAATGTTCTGACCTTCTGCAATAGTAAATCAAAAACTCTTTTAGCAGTGAGATCAATCAAATAACAGAATTTAATTATTTTTAGAAGAAGAAAATAAAGGATAAAATCCTCCATGGGGTTATTTCTAGTTCCCTCAACGTTTCCTGGTTTAGTTTCTATTAGAGTCAAAATTTTCATCACATACATGCTCAATAATCAGCAGGACTACCTTGCCCCAAATTTAACATTTAGGCACCACTCAGAACCAAATATTTTAAAGACCATGTATGCTGAATCAATGAAGCAAATTTAAGTTTCTATCTTTCTATAAGACAAGCATAGACACTATCTAAGCTGTAAACTAAACATTTTTCTTAGCTGTAAACTAAACATAGAAACCCATTATTTTTGCAACTTCTATCTTCTACGGCTATATTGTTAGATGAACATCCTATTGAAATTTGGGATATCTCCACTCAAATTCAACATGTTCTTAACAGCTCAACCACAGGAGACTGCCTTAAAACTCCTCAGCAGATTACTTAAATAGTCTCTTAATTGAGAGAGATAAAGGCCAAGACATCTAACTCTTTTGCTGAGAGCTAACAAGTAACATTTCAAAAAGTTTCATTGCTGCATCATGTCATCCAATACAAGATATTTTTCTTTTCTTTCATTTACCTTGCGAGCTATCTTTTTGATGACTGACTCACTAAAATGTGGCAGCTGCAAGAAGGGTGCATTTCCTTCAGTGGATCCACCAGTGGCCTTCCTTGCACTGAGAGGAACAGCCTATAGTTTCCATTAAAAAGAATCCTAACATTAGTATGGCCTTTAGAAAAGAATGCTAGTTTTTGAAATTGAAAGCAATTACAACAGAATAAAAAGATGAGGTAGTAAACAGGAAAACTTTAAAAATTTAAAAAGCAACCTATTAGAAAACTTGGGCAACCTATACAAGCGTGTTTTAGAAAAATTAGAAGAATTATCAAGCAATTGCTAAGTAAAAGAAAACCAAGAGAAATTAAGAAGGGTAATTGAGGAATGCCTGTTCAAAGGGAAAGAAAAGATGTTGGAGACAACTTTAATTACTCAAAAAAATTCATTTTTTCTTATTTATACTTGTGTTGCCGCACAAAATCTTCAAATGGCACCCACCATGACAGATATCCTTTTATTTCGTTGGCAATTTCCAATTGGGTGTCATGGGTGCAAACAACATGATATTAACATATAAATAACCAGCTTACACACAGAGACACACACAAATGAAAATAAGAGCCAGTAACCAATTTCTAAGAATCAGCACCTGAATGATACATTGAGAAAGCTCAACAACCCCTATTGCTGGCCTCAGCCATCCATGCCCTTGGGCAGTACGTGGTATAACTGCCATCTGCATGGAAAAGATGCAGTATTAGCAATACCATGAGACAGTGGCTCAAAATTAGAAGTAAGTCAATAATACTTCAAGACTAGTACAAAGTGGAACACAGAAAGCTGCACATCTTTGAACAAGTGCTGTAACTAAGAAGAGCTCAAAAAATGAGAACCAAGAATCTTGTTAGCATTTTCATATGACTATGTTTGATCTTGCTCTTTTCCTTTTGAAGAATTTACTCATAGTTTTAATCTCCCTAAGTAATCAACCACAAGAATGGTTCTCTTAAAGATCAATATATTTGGTCAGACTACATCACAATAGTGGCATCATATGTTTCATGCTTTGTGAGGAAAATTGCTCTATTTCTACAAAAAGGAAAAAAAGAAAGATTAAAAAAATGAAAGCAGATTCGCTTTCCTATGGAAAGGATGGTGGAAAGCAGCTTCTGAAAGGTGGTTTACAAGCTCTTTACTACCTTATTCAACTTTTTCTCAGAAGCATTGAGTTTTGGGAAGATCATGATAAAATAGAAAGAATTCTGACCAGGCTAAATGGAGTTGTTGGAATATGAAATGTCATGAACCAGTTCTAGAAGAGTTCTGGAAAGATCATACAAAACACTTTTCCCAGATCATAAGTTATGTAAAAAATTACCTTTAGTAATTCTTCAAGGAGGCGAGGTGCAAGCTCTAGCACACGCTTGAAATCACCCAGCAAAGCAGGAGACAATGTTGACAATTCACGAGTTAATTGGGCCTGAATCAACAACTCTGTCTGATAGAATGTGGCACAAAAAGCGTAAGAAACCTCCTTATGGTTACAAAAGAAAAACATTTTCCTGATATACATAAAGCACCTTCACTATAGCAGGGTGTTGCTTCCAAAACTTAGCTTGCTCTTGCTTAATGTTTTTAAGGTCCAGATTCAACTCACTCCTGACCGACATGAATAGCTTCTGAAGAGGTTCATCATCAGTCCTGCGAACTGGAATTTCCATATATTCAGCTGCCTTAGTGAAGACTTCCATAACTTTGCTGTATGGCCAGGGTATTGAATGAAAATAATAATCAGCATGTCAACAAGCAGTCAATCAAAAAAAAAAAAAAAAATGAAAGCACCCATGTTAAACTGAATGGAGTGCATATTACAGAAAGGCACTGCAATTTGCACGGTAGAAAGTGTGATCTCATATTTCTAGTGGCCAAGGTCTACTAGCTTTTGAAAATTCATATGTGGCAAACACCAATGGTAAATGCATTGCGAAGTTTAAAAAGCAATTCATTGTTATGCACATAAAATAGACAAGTATACCTCATTATGAAGAGATGAATAAGCAAGATATTTAGGCATATAATATCAAGCATTAAAAACTAGAAGTTTCAGATTCAGTAAGGATCCTAGAATAGGGAGATCCACAATCTCAGTTATGCCATTCATCTGATGAAAACAAAACTTATAGCAAAAAGGGCCAAAAGAATGCATGCGTTTATATTAATTTAAGTTAAAACTCAATCATTAACTAGCACCGTGTACACAGGTAAATGTTTATCAGAACTATATGATTCATGGTTGTAGACCAAAAATTTTGATTCAAGGTTGGAGTGCTATTTAAAAATTACAAATACTTATAATGAGATAAGTACCTTGGGGCTAGAGAGGGTTTCATGAAGTAATAATAGGTGGACAATGTGTGATGCATAACATAATTTCCAGTATACTTTGATGACCTCGAAAGATATATGACAGCTATCACCAATGGTAACAGAATACAAACACCAACAATCCAGAGTAGAAGTATGCCACCAGATGCCCCATCAATGTCTAACAGGAACTGAGGAAGAGCAATACCCATTTGAAACCCCTGTATTAAAAAGTTGATGTTAATGTTAAAGAAGGTTAACATTTACCATTTATTGTATGAAACCCAAATTCCTTCTGATTGAACTATATGGTAATGATTAATTACCTGTCTTCCATCTGGGTGACCATATTTCTCAAAATTTTCACGTGATATTGGATCGGTGAGAGCCTGATAAGCCTTGGATATGTACTCCACAAAGTAGTTATGAGCCTCTAAAAAAATATATATGTGAAACTGTTAGCAAATTACCATTTAAAAACCTCATTCCTCATGCTGACATAGAGGTTAGACATGAGAACCATATAAATAAAATAATAAAAGAACTGAGCAACCATTGGAGATCAACCTGGGTCTGGATTTTTATCTGGATGGTATTGAATAGAGAGTCTCCTATAGGCCTTCTTTATTTCTGAATCTGAAGATCCAGGCTCCAATCCAAGTATACTGAATGGCTCAAATACTTGAATCTGAATAAAACGAAAAGGAGCACTGCCTTTAGTGAAACTTATCCTTGTAATACTCTACACTTGAGTATTCTTGAAACTTAAGAATGATTCAAGTAGCATCAGGATGAGGATACTAATCACATGTAGTCACATGCAATTAAAAATTAAAACTTTATGAAATGGGGTTACCTCACGACTCATGTTTTTAATATAATAAACCAGGAATATCATGACAACCCAGAGCAGCACTAGAGTCAAGTTACTATATGTTGAGAAATTCGAGATCTGCATGAATAAACAAAGTACATTTCAGATATAAACACTTAATCACCAAAACATATCAAGTGCCACATAATCAAAATTGATAAATGAACTTAAAGGACCATAAATGACTCACCCTTTTAAATATGGACTTACGGTACTTCCCCGAATGGGAGCATTCCATGCACTGACAATGTATGCTCTTTGTTTTTTTTGATGCTGCTCGGCATAACTTAAGTATTGTATAAGGAACTAAAGGCAGTGCCATTATCGTCAAAATGAAAATTGGAAACAATGCACTATTCTCTTCCGAAGCAGCCATGGTGATCTTCTACCTTAAACAAGAATTAATTAGTTACAGCACCTGCAGAAACAATTTCAGTTAAAATGATATAATTCAAGTGTCATGAAATAACTAAAATTGATATAAGGATGGGCGTCAATTCCCAAACAATTTGTAATAGATATAACTAAAATGAAGAATGCATTCTCTAAGAACAGCAAACATTTGCTTAAAAATTACAAACAAACATAGCCAGAAATTTCTCTACTATAGGCTACTTAAATAATTGGCCTAGAACAGCCAGAGAAAGCCCTAATCAAAACAGAAAAACAAGTAGGTACAGATGAACACAGATTGAACCAAGCGTCGCCACTCTTATCCAGAGAAAATGAATCAATATATGGGAAATGAATTCCAAAACCCACTAAAAGACTTTGAAATATCAGCACTCATGCAAAATTCAAATGAAAAATCCAAAGTGTTCTGCAATTCAGATAAGAATCAAGCTGCGATTAATCACTCATTATCTACCAGAAATTCGAAATCAAAAATGTAAAAATACGTATCATAGAAAATCGAAAGATGAACACCGGAAAAAATATGTTACCCGAGAAGATGACAAAACAGATCGGAAACTGCCTCGGTGCCGATTTTCCGTAGGTGGGCGCCAAGCTAGAGAAGATATGGTGATGGAGGTTCTTTTCTTCTTCTTTTTTTTTTTTGTTTTTTGGTCGGGTTTTGTTTAGGAATAACCCTAGGATTAACCCCTTAACTAAACACATTTGTTCCAATCAAGCTCCATACAAAGTATCGTTCCAAGTAAGTCCCTTAAACTAATTATAGAGGAGCTATTTGGATTAGCTGTTCAAATTTAGGAAATGATTGATAATCGATAACTGATGGTTGACAGTTGATTGCTAATTGCCAATAACTTTGTTATTTGTAATTAATATTTGGTAATAAAACTATTAGTTGTTTTTAATAAAGTGTTAAATTACCATTAAGGGTAATAATCAACCCAATGCAATTAGACTTCTTTTTCTTAGTCATGATAGATTACCCTCACTAAGAAAAAGGAAAAACACTACTTCCGTTGAATTCCATTTTTGTTGACCAATCACAATTACTTCATAAGCTCGTCTTTTACAAGTGAAGAAAACCCATGAACCAAAATTGAAAATTTAGAGAAAAGATTTGAATCAAATAAAGTTTCTAATTTTAAATTTGGGGAACAAGGGAAATCATTTTATGAGAATTTGTTTTTCTTTATTTAAATTGTAAATCAATAGTTTTTGATCAATCGGCTTTTGCGTAGATGATTGCAAGTTTCAAATCAATTTTCCTAGAATCGAGAAAGCTCTTCCATAGGCTAAAAAACTGTTGATCATCACACCTTTCTTCCATGTTTTATATGGTTATTGGTTGTTCTTATTCATCATTAGTAGAAAATACTCTTAAAATCTATTAAAGAGTCATATGGATTTAGTTAAGGGCATATAAATTGATGAACAAATAAAAAATAAAATTTGAAATGCTAGTAGATCCAACAACTACTTGAAGTAACTTTTAAAAAATTCAACCATTGAGAGTGTCAATAGTTGTTAGTTGATTTCTAACAACTAATAAAAATTTTTATCCAAATACTTCTATTTTGTTATTTAGGGTCCAACTAAAAGCATTTACAGAACCAAAATCAATGAAAGTTTCTCTCAAGGTAAGGAGAGAAAGATATATTTCCACTATTTATAATATTTTACAGCATCTTACATTGTGGCATGACGTTAGGAATCATTGCTATCAATACCAGATACTAGATACAAAGAATGCACAATACCAGATATTAGATACAAAGAATGTAGAATACATTTAGTGGCCAACGGTCATATTGGGATTGTTATGGGATTCTTTCCTTTTACTTCAGTTTGAATTCTCCTTGGAATTAATTTGTTAGTGTCCATATTTCCCTCATTTTTAGGAGCTTGACTAACTTCTTTATCGTTGCTGACTTGAATGATTTCTTCCTTGATATTGCTCTCCTTGATTTTCTCCTGATGCTTATGTCCTTGAATCTCTTCAATCTTCCAGCTTGGATCTGCTTGATTTGTTGCACCTGGTTTTTTCTCCAATACTCCCCCTCAAACTAGGCCATGGCAGAAAGTAGAGACCAAGTTTGACACATAACTGTTTGAAGCAGTTTCTAGGCAAAGGTTTAGTAAATAGATCTGCTAATTGTGATTCTGACTTAACAAAATGAGTGATCAGATTTCCTTGAGCAACCTTTTCTCTAACAAAATATAATCTATTTCAATATGTTTAGTTCTAGCATGGAAAACATGATTAATAGTCATGTAAAGGGCACTTAAGTTATCACAATGAAGAATATGAAGGTTAGAGAGTGGCAAACCAATATCAATAAGGAGCCTAGCATGCCAAGTGAGTTCAGCTGTTGTAGATGCCATATAACGATATTCAGCTTCAGTGCTTGATCTTGCTATAATAGGCTGCTTTTTGGCACACCAAGACATGCAGTTACTTCCCAAAAAAGTGCAAAAGCCAATGGTAGACCTTTTGGTTAGTGGACAACCAGCCCAATCTGCATATGAGAAAGCATATAATTCTAGTGTGCTTTGATTAGAAATACTCATTCCATAATCAAGTGTGCCACATAGATACTGTAAAATACGTTTAACTAATTGAAAATGATCTAGAGTAAGGGCATGCATGAACTGTGAGACATGATTTACAACAAAGGAAAGATCAGGTCTGGTAAAAGTAAGATACTGTAAACCTATAACCATGCTTCGATAAAAGGTGGGATTTTGGAAATCACCAGCTTTTAAGGAAGAGGAACGAGTCTTTATGGCCATAGGTGTAGAGATGGGTTTACACCCTACCATTTGAGCCTTCTGAAGTAACTCACGGGCATATTTAGATTGACAAAGAAAAAGTCCTGATTTGTTAGCATGCACTTCAATTCCCAGAAAATAGTGTAATTTCCCAAGGTCATTGATAGCAAGTTCTCTTGATAGTTCACTAATACACCATTCAACAAGGTTTAAATTGCTTCTAGTTAGGATCATATCATCAACATAGATAAGTAGAAGAAGCGTACCTTGGTGTTTATGGTAGATAAATAGTGATGGATCTATAGTGCTACAAGAAAAGCCAAGTTTTGATAAAAATATACAAACGATCAAACCAAGCTCAATGAGCTTGTTTTAAGCCATAAAGTGCTTTTCGGAGGTTACAAACATGTGAGGGGTATTGTTTATCAATAAAGCCTAGAGGTTGTTCCATAAAAACCTTCTTTGAGAGGTTGCCATGTAGAAATGCATTTTTAACATCTAGTTGACGAACATTCCAATTTTGTACTGTTGCAATAGTGAGTATTGTTCGGATGGTACTAGGCTTCACAACTGGAGAAAAGGTTTTAGAGAAGTCTATACCATCAACTTGGTGAAAACCTTTTGCGACCAAACAAGCTTTTAATCAGTTGAGATCCCCATTAGACTGTAGCTTTGTCTTAAACACCCATTTACACCCTACAACATTCATGTCTTTTATGTGAGGTACAAGATCCCAAGTATGACTGTCTTTTAAGGTAGCTAACTCTTCATGCATAACCCCTACTTAACTAGGATGCTTCAAGGTTGTTTTAACAGATTTTTGGTTTAATTAGAATGCTAGAAGGCTTAGTTTCGACATGAAGAGCGATGTACTTTGAATTCGGCTTGTAAATTCCTTTTTGAGACCTTGTAATCATGTGGTAAGGGTGCGTGCTTTGATTGTGTCCTATTGGGCTTGTATCTTGAGCTTGGGACCCATGGCTTGTTTCATTAATTCCTTGCAATATAGCATCAGCAGTGCACGGTGCCGCATGGGCTTGCTCTAATGTTTGCTGATCTACATTATCAATAGTCGAAGAAGAATCAAGAGTCGTGACACTTTGTTCTGTGGTAGAACTCATGCAAGCTTTAGATCTTGTAATTTCCATAAATTTTGTATTTTTTGCAAGGGAAGAAAGAGTCATGTCAGTATCTATAGAGTCAAACCACTCATTAAAATTTGTAATTTCTCCTTTAACCAGTTCCTTGCCGTATAAAGCGTTTGGATCTGCAAAAGGGAAACACATTTCATCAAAAACTACATGTCTTGAAACATATGTCCTCCCGGTTGATGGTGAGAAGCACTTGTACCCTTTGTGCTTTATACTATATCCCATAAAAACACAAGGAGTTGATTTTGGGTCAAATTTAGTTCTTCTATAGTCACCAGGATATGGGAAACATTTGGATCCTAGGACACGCAATGAGGACTAGTCTGGATGCTTCCCCTATAGCTTAAAGAATGGGGAGTCCATGTTGAGACTTGGTGATGGCAACCTATTTATTAAAAAAATAATAGTGGAAAAGGAGTCAACCCAAAATTTTGCTGGCAACTTAGCATGAAACATAATGGTTAGACCTAATTCTGTTATATTCCTATGTTTGTGTTCAGCTAAGCTATTTTGTTCTGGTGTCTTAGGACAAGTAGATTGATGACGAATTCCTAAATTAGCTAGTAATTGTGCAAGGTTGGTACTAGAAAATTCTCCTCCTTCATCTATTTGGAGGATTTTTATTCTTTTACCAAATTGAAAATTAATATATTTATAGAAATGATTAAAACATTCAAAAAAATCAGATTTTTTTCTTCATATAATAAAACCAAGAGAATCATGTATAGCTATTGACAAAGACAACATAGTAACGAAAACCTTCCTTCAGTAGACTTGAAAGGTGCTGCTCCCCAAAGATCACAGCTAATTTTTTGAAAAGGTTCATCATATATGTCATTTGATTTAAGAAAAAGGAGTCTACATGTTTTTCCCATTTGACGGCTATCACAAATTTCATTTGAATCCCCGATAGAATCAAAATCAATAAATTTATTTCAAAAAAGGAAATCAACAATACGATATTGAGGGTGCCCCAATGTTTAGTGCCATCCCTTTTTATTGGTCCCCCTAAAACGAGTCGAGAAGAGTGCTGTATATCCATCATTTAGTGCATATAGTCCTCCTCTGCTTGCGCCTTTGGCTACTATTCTTTTTAAGTATCTGTCCCTGATAACAAATCCACTAGCATCAAATTCAAAAATACATGGTAGATCATGAGTGAGTTAGGTAACAGAGAGCAAATCCTTCTTTATATAAAGAACTAGAAGCACATTTTTAAGAGTAATAGTATGTTCACCACAATTTATATGAAAATCACCAATATGTGTTATATTTAATGTCTCACCATTCCCTACCATTACGCCATCATTCCCTTTATAAGGTTTTAAATTTATAAGCTTACCGGAGTTGCTAGTCATGTGAACTTTTGCTACAGTAGCTGGATACCACTCAGCAACATCACTTTGATTGATAGTCATTGCAGCAAAGGCTTGAGGGATGTCATGTGCTTGAAATGCATGGTTGAAGCAATTGAAACACTTGAGAGCAACATGGCCATGCTTATTGTAGATTTGACAAACCACATCAGATTTACTTGTAGTAGCTTTAGTTTCACTGCTTTCCAAATTTCCTGCATTTAACTTAAAACTAGCTCTTGGCTTATTGTCAGTTCTAGCTTGAATAAAACCTTTTCTTCTAGAGTTGAACCAACTCTGACCATTTCCTTTCTTTTTGTAATAATTTCTTAGTTCAAGCTTTTGAGTAAGGGAGGCCATTTGTTAAGGTAAAGAGTTATGATGACGGTTACAGGAATCATGGCTTTTTACAAGAGGGATCAGTTCTTTGTATGATGGAACAAGTGGTTTAAGCATGGTTGTGACAAAATTTTCATAGCTTGGTCCTAACCCTTGCAAAAAATAGAAAACTTTGTTTTTATCTGGAATGATCTTACCATTTGTGGAGAGTTCATCACAAAGAGCTTGGAATCTTCTGATGTACTCACTTAAAGTGTCATCACCCTTTTGGATACTTGAGATCTCATGCATTAAGTGAAATTCTCTTTCTTGAGAGCTTTGAACAAAGTGGTCCTCCAATGCCTTCCAAACTTCCGATGAAGTCTCGAGTCCAACAACAATTCCAAGTACCTCTTTTGATAAGGTACCAGTGATCCACCCACGAAGAAGACGATCAAATGTCTCCAAGCTGCGTAAGTTGGATTTGGTACTTCCTTCTCATTTGAAAGTACCTTTGGATTAGGCATTTCATACTCGCCATTAATAAAACCCAATAGTTCTTGACTTTCAATTAAAGCCATCATTTGGGTTCTCCAAAGTAGATAATTGTCTGAGGTTAGTTAGAGAGAAGCAAAATTGGCTACATTCAGTGTGGCCGGATATGGGTAGGTTTTTGAAGATGTTGTTGTTTGTTGGGTAAGAGCTGAGGACATGTTGTATGGTAGTGTGGTTCTCCTCATCGAAAGGCTCTGATATCATAAAAGCGTTTATAGAACCAAAATCAATGAAAGTTTCTCTCGAGGTAAGGAGAGAAAGATATATTTCCACTATTTATAATATTTTATAGCATCTTACATTGTGGCATGATTTTAGGAATCATTGCTATCAATACCAAATACCGGATACAAAGAATGCAAAATACCAGTTACTAGATACAAAGAATGCAGAATACATTTAGTGGCCAACGGTCATATTGGGATTATTATGGGATTCTTTCCTTTTATTTCAATTTGAATTCTCCTTGGAATTACTCTGTTAGTGTCCATATTTCCCTCATTTTTAGGAGCTTGACTAACTTCTTTATTGTTGCTGACTTGAATGATTTCTTCCTTGATATTGCTCTCCTTGATTTTCTCCTGATGCTTATGTCCTTGAATCTCTTCAATCTTCCAGCTTGGATTTGCTTGATTACTGCACTTGGTTTGTTCTATTTAGTTATTTAGGGTCCAATGACCATGAACTACCTCTAAAGCTCCAAAACAAAACCCACATACCATATAAGGGGTGATGACTACTAAAATAAAAAACCAAAGAAGAAAATATGTAGGTCACAAAATATCAAGAACCAACCTATGTTCGTATTTACATTAGATGAGAAAACTAATTTAGTGAGGCATTAGGTTGTGTGATCAAACGAAATGACATTTTTTATCCAACTTTTAACTTAGTTGATGGAGATTTTGAACAAATAAGGACACAATCTCTTAAAAATTCTTTAATTAAATATATAATCTTTTTCTTTATTAATTAAAGTTACCACCTTTCAAAAGTTTCTAATCAATTATATAATCAGGTCATATCTTTAAGGGTGCAGCCATACACTACCATTGTACATTCAAAAAAATTAAATTCTTTAAATATTATCTTTAAGATTTGAATTTTGTACTTGATCTATAAGGTGATACTTATTAATTCCTTTAATTCAACTCATGTGGTTGGTATAGTCTGTCCCTTTTCACTTTGGTAAGCGTGTGTCTATCTAAGTGCAAAATTGACATTTGAGTTTGTTAATTAAAATAACTCATCAAAGACATTCAAGATTTGAAAAGAAAAATATTGATAAAACAAAAAGGAGATAATTTCACGATTTGCCTCTAGCTTCTCAAATTTTAAATTGTATCCCATATTAATTTTTTCATTTGAATCATTTGATTCCGAACCTTTAGCACTCAATGCAAACTTATTCCTCCATTAACCAAATTTATCTATTTTACGTTTAATTGCATGTTATGAGGTGGCCGGTGGGAAAACTATAAAAAAAAAAAAAAAAGAAGAAAAATTACAGGTTAGTGTTTATTTTAGTACTTTGTACCCTAAGAAATAAACATTAAGGCCAAAATGCTCCAATAGAAAAATATTGTAGGAAAAGATACTTTCAAAATGAACCTATTCCCATGCAACAGTTGAGTACAAATTTATTTTTCATTCTTTGAATAAGAAAAATATTATATAAAAAGATATGAATTAACTCATTAAAAAAGAAAATTTATATAAGAAAGTAAGTACAGATAATTTTTTTTTTGCCATAAAAAAGGGAAATTATTATTATTATTATTTTTGAATAGATTATAATTTGAGGAGGAGGTGTTTGAACTCCATATTTAAGGTTGAAGAATGCATCTTATAATACAACATGTAGTTATCGGATCACAAGATCCAAGTACCATAAAAAGAAATAATTGAATTCAAAATCTATAAATATATTAATTACAACATGTGAACAACATTATTAAAAATTTTAAGCACACCACCATACCCAAACTTAATATCATAATAATCTTCAATACAATATAAGATGTACTAATTAATAAATTCAAGATGGGATGATAGTAGGCAAGTCCTTGTTCCCACTCTCTCCCCTCTCCCATGCTTGCCAATTTCATGGATGATATCCTACATGAAATTTTTTACCAAAGAAAATTATTCCCTCCTCTTTACTTAGATATATCATGGGGATCCTTCAATTCTTTTAACAAAGAAGCAATTTTGCATCACACTCCACATGCCATTGTGGCCCCTCCCAAATGTGGGTTTAAATCAAACCTCGGTTCTTTTCGCTCAATTTATATCTAAAGAATAGGATTTGAATGGAGTCACAGAGATCAGGGACTACAACGGAACAAAGAACAGATTAAGGATGAAATACAAAATACTTGAAAATATTCAATTAAAAATAAGTCTTACTGTAGTGATTGGATTTGAAATTACCTTTATCTGCGAAAGCACTCATTTGTCTCCCGCTGTGCCGATCCTCAGCCCAGCAGAGAGAAACTGAGACATGGACTCAACACCGGAGCCACTGCATCATCATCTCCACCGTAACGCCGCCCGCTTCCTCCACTCCACCACCAGCTCCCTCCTCTCTCTCCTCTCCACTGCCAAGACCATGCCGACCCTTCCGCAATCCAAAATCTGTACGCCCTTCCTCTTCTCCGACTCGTCTCACCAACTCACTCCCTCGCCTTTCGAATCCACTCAGTCCAACTCCGTCTCTTCAACGTCAGCAATTAAGGGCGTATCGTCGGCGGAGTCCAGCTCGGGGTTCCCATCAACGGTTAGGATTGCGGGACTCAGTTCAAGTGGCAAGGGCGGGGGTCCTGCCTTTGTGGGACAAGTTTTTAGCATGTGTGATCTTTCTGGGACTGGTCTCATGGCTGTTTCTACCCACTTCGATATTCCCTTCATATCGAAAAGGTATGTGCTTTCAAAAGTTTAAGAATTGTACCCAAAAGTATACGTTTTAAAGGAACCCTTTTGAGTGCGGGACTCTCAAAAGCTAAAGACTTTTACAAAATAAGCACCATGTATGCTTGGTTTGATTGTATCGGATTTTAAATTGAAAATTTTGAGCGATTTGCTACCTTCATTAATTGCATATATGCTTGGTGAATACTGTGCAATGAACGTTCAAGTTAGGGAGGAACTGCTTGTTTACAATTGCTCATGGTTACAGCTTGTAACATATTATTTGCAATTTTGGGACAGCAGTTTAGATGGTTGGTTGTTTACTGTTTACCGTTTACTTGCCTTGAGTGATTATAATCTGACAACAGAATGCTCCATCCTCTGCTTATTAATGGTTGAAATACATGATACTATCCCATATTTTCTGAACCCGGTATGTTTCATAGAAAATGGTTATAAAATATTTCACCTCTTCCCTAATTTTAAAATACTTTTCCTCTATCAATCTGTAGGACACCTGAGTGGCTTAAGAAGCTATTTGCAACCATTACTAAGAGTGAGAGGAATGGCCCTGTTTTTCGGTTTTTCATGGATTTGGGTGATGCAGGTATGATTTCATCTCTAGGTTGAAATTTTCCTCCTATGTCCCGTATCCTCTGATACCAGATTTTATGAGCAACTAGAGCCGTGCTTCCTTACACAAAGCATTTTACTTCATTCTTTTTGGTGCTTATTAATTTTTGGAATCATTGCTTTCCACTGGTTTCCTAGTTTATATATAAACTAGTGGCCCTGGTTTTATTAATCAATTTTACGTCTGAGTATGTTGGCCTTTGGGCTTTAGCACTATTTGGGCCTTTATTAGAAGCTTATTTAATACTAGGTATTGATGATAATCATTGTTTTTCAATTTTGGTTGTACTTATTTCAGCTGAGTTCCTAGAATTCTAACATATTGTGTTGTTTAGTTTCATATGTCAAACATCTGAATATTCCTAGTGGCGTGGTGGGTGCATGCCGTCTTGATTTAGCATATGAGCATTTCAAGGTACTGGTTTGTGATTTAAGTGTACTCTTTTCCTATTTATTAGATGCAGAATTTTAGATTGTAGGTATCTGCTTGACTTTTGAATATTGACTTATTTTGTCATTTCTGATTTCTCTCTTTCTCCCCTTTCTCTATTTAATCTATTCCATTTGGAACGTAAGTTGATATATAATATAGTTTAATTGCATTTTTATTTTGAAGTCCATTTAAGTTTGCATGCTTTTCCTTGCACTGGTGTATAATGCCATGAGTGCATGGGTAGTAACCCAGGAAGGTTCAAAGGAAAGTGTTGTGTTAATGTTTTAGACTTGTAGTTGTTGCACTTGTTGGGATGTTTGCTGCTACATTGTTTGTGGTATTCTACGTCAATAAAATTTCATAGTTTATCTTTCATGTTGTTTTTTTATTGAACATTCTTGAAGATCTCACAAACCATAAGAACTTGTATTTCTATTGCCTTCTACATGTATCTTTTGGTAAACATGAGAGCCACCTGTCAGTGGATGTTTGGATTACTCCTGTGGTCCTGTTGTCCCTTGTTAAACAGTCTTTGAAAATCTATGAACAGGTCTTAGGATGAGGATTTTTTGAAATAAGAATGCACTGTCAAATGAATAAAATGGAAGGATATTGCAACAGCCTAATAAAGTGATCAGTGGGATAAAGGAGAAAAGAAGGCTTTAAATTTAAACAGCTGCAGATCAAATTACTGTGAATCATCTTTTTTCCTATGGCAAACAGTATGGCTCTAAACAAAGGACAATCATGGAAAATAATTTATGTACTATGTAGCTGACTGGGTTGTTTGGAATAGGCTTGTGTTAATTTAATTAGAGTAATATATTGTCCTTAGATGCTGTTTGACCTAATGTCTATGATTTTTCAAAAATATAGATTATGCTTACACAGTTACACTTTTGTGAATTTTCATTTAATGAAGATCTTTCGTAGACTTACTGTAAAATTTTCTGGTGGTGTTTTGTCCAGGAAAAACCTCACATGTTTCAATTTGTTCCAAATGAGAAGCAGGTAGCTTAAAATGTTTAAGTTTGCATTGTTAGTTATATATTTTCTTCTTTATAAAGTAATTATAGCATGTCACTATTTTCTTAAATAAGAAAATGGTTGCTACCCTTGCAGGTAAAGGCAGCCAACAGGCTTCTTAAGACAAACCCTCAAAATGGCAGAAGGAAAAAGGTCGATGGTGTTCCTATTTTTGGTGCTGAAAACTTGGATATTGCAATAGCTACTTCTGATGGTATTAAGTGGTGTGTTTCTTGTACTAAACAAAGAGCATCATAGATTTCCAAATACTTTTTTTGGTATGTAGTGACAAGGGATTGAACCCTAACTTGTAGCCAAAAACACATGCAACTTTACCATCAGACCGCATGGCTGATGGTATAGATTTCCAATTCATGGAGTTTATCTATATGTTGCCTTTATTGAAAAACGAATATCTTTAAAGTGCATCCCAGTCTACTAGTTGCTTATAGTCTTATTATTTTCATCCTCCAGGTATACTCCTTACTTCTTTGATAAAAACATCCTGGATAACATTCTTGAAGAATCTGTTGATCAGCATTTCCATGCTTTAATTCAAACTCGGCACGTGCATCGCCGACGTGATGTGATTGATGACAACTTTGCTGCAGATGTGATGGAAGAACTTGGAGATAGTGTATTGGAGCCTCCAGAGGTACAATATTTTTGGTCTCCATATTAAGTTTAAGAATTAATTTATAGTTGAAGTAATATTAGCATGGGGGTTTGTATAGTATTTCAGTTGTCAAATTTTCTTAGAAAGTTTCCAAAATTTTGGAATATTTAGAAAATATTTTATATGATGACATGTCAAGACTGTATCAGTGAGATGGTCTGGATTTGGTACATCTTTATGGCCTCTAAAAGTGGTTGCCATTTGTCTTAGTACCAAAAAGTCAATTTCAAGAGAAATAGGACAGATAGTTTAACTTCACTTTAGTTTTCATTCTTTTACTAGTAAAGAGGGTTATTATTTTGTTCAGTTGTTGAAAGGGTATTATTGTTATCCTTGCAGGTTCAGGAAGTCTTGGATGAGATTGGTCATCCTGGGATACCTTGGACTGTTATTTCAAAGGCTGCTGAAATACAGCTTTTCCATGCTGTTGACAAAGTGCTTCTGGGAAATAGGTGGTTGCGGAAAGCTACAGGCATTCAACCGAAATTTCCTTATATGATTGATTCATTTGAGAGAAGGTAAATCATGTCGTTTGGGGCAAAATGCATTATGCTAATCTTTTACTGTATAATTATGGGGACCAAATTAACAGTTCAATATGCTTTGCTGAGTATTCTAAACTAAATGCTAGTGTTGCACGTATGGCAGTTTTGGTGTGCTCAAAATCTGAAATACCATTTTCTGACTTTGCAAAACTAATCCATTTATATCTTCAAGAACAAGAATAAATATAGGTAGGTTAGTGTACCAAAAAAAAATATATAGGTAGGTTAGTAACTTTGCGCTTTGTTCAGGATATTGCCTTAATGTGTTAATTTTCAAAATGAATTAGAAAAAGGAAGGGAGAGTGGCCTGAAGGTTTCTTGACTGATCAGCACACTTCTTCTGTTTTTGATTAATTTGCAAAGATGTCCTTTAAAAGAAGTCATCAGACTGAGAAATTGACTTGATCATTTTCAATCCAATTTTTTTGGGCTTCTGAATTGGCAAAAATACAGAAACTGGCCTACTCTTAAGTTCACAGTAGGGATCTCTGCATGCTCTGTCGAATTATTTTCTAGTTATGATTATAGATTATATGTTTGTTCCATTGCAGGAGTGAAGCTTCTTTTAAGAGAGCTGCTGAGTCAGCCTGTTGCCTTACCGACTTTAAAACAAATAACGGTACTGCAGTGGAGCCCATATTAGAAGATAATGGTAAAGCCGACTCTAGACAAGAGGGTGAATGTCAACAAAGAGCAGATACACGGTACCATGGTAGTTGCTTATGTTCAACTCCTACCTCTTGCTTTCTGTTGAACTGACCATCTCCTTTCTGCAGAATGCAAAGCTCATCAGACGAATGCATTAATTGCAACCTACAATCCAACCCATTTCTTCCAAAGATCACAATGGTTGGTATCTCAACAACAGAGGGGCAAATGAGCAAATCTACCGTAAAGAAGACAATGGACAATCTAACAAAAGCATTGGAGAAGACAGAGCAAGGAAATGTGGCTGATGTTGATAAAAATGAGATAAAAGTCGAAGATAGGGATCCACTATTTGTTGCAAACGTGGGTGATTACTATGCTAGCTTCTCAAAGACAGGCTCAGCACGATGGGTTCGTGGAGGAAACAACTGAAACAACTTCACTGACTAAATATTTCTCTGGTATGAGCTGGCCAACAAAGTTATATTTATGAAAACTGACGAGAGGAAAATATATGGTCAGAAATGCGGTTTTTCATTCAACAGGTCGTGTATATTTCCTAGGATAGAAATTAGAGTAACTATAGCATGCTAGTCTGAGAATATCAATGTATCATTCTGTATCAGCAAGATAATGTTTGTAAGGAAAAATAGTGAAACCGGTCCTAGTGATCTTTTTTTGGTTGAGATTCAAAATCTGTATTGTTAATCCGGCTTTCAATTTTTGACATTATATGATTATTCTTTATGTAAAAGAATAAACTTTATACCTTCAGATTCTGTTGAAATATTGATTTAGTATGAGTCCCCTAATTTGTGGTTTGGATTGCAAAATATAAGTCATTCAATGGGGGAAGACTTTCAATATTAGAGGATTTACTTTTCATTCAATAGTTAGTATTGTGTAGTTTGATATAATTTAAATTGTATAATACTTTTTTTCTTTATTTATTGATTTATTTAGTTATTAGCTAAATTATTACCAAAGTTGCAAACTTTTAAGCTTTAGAATTAAGAAGGTGATAGATAATTAAACTCTTGAATTTCACAGTTGTTACTAAAGAAGTCCTTTTGTAGCAGCAATGGTCAAGCTCGGTCTTAATATTACTTTTAGTTTTCTTACAAATTTCAAATTCAACAGGCAAAGCTCTGTCAATGAAATGGGCAAATGGGACGGTGATTCTTGGAGATGGTGTCTAAAATGGAAAAACGATTGCTAGCATGGGAGGAAGGCCGGGCCGCGGGGCTCATGGATATTATACTGAAGGAAGTACAACCAGTAAAAGGAAGGACTGCTGGCGTTTGGACAGGTTTTTTTTTTTTTTTTTTAATTTTTAAGTATTAAACTTTTTAGTACTTAAAAATTATATTAAATTTGATTTATTTAAAATCAAGTTATGTAGACTCCATAAGAGAGAATTTCTCTCAATACATGTCTTCGCATTTATAAAACTTAAAATTGAAATTTTATATAAAAAAAATTAAATTTTTTCTACTTATATCAAAAGGAAGAAACTACTCAGTCAAATCTGCTTAGGCATTGCTAACAAGAGAAGCATTTGAATTTTGAGGAAAATAATTAGATAAAAAAAAAATGTTAGAATTTTTTAGTTCCAAGCAAGGTATGTGTTTTCTCATGGTTGGTTCCCAAAATAGAATATCTTGCAAGTCAAATTTGGTTAAAATTAAGGAACATAATCAAAGACGGGGATGATGCTAAGCGTGGACTTTGTAGAGTGCAGCTTGGAGCTGGTACAAATTAGATCTTACTGTGGATTGGCGGGTTAAGATTGATTGGTCGTTTTCATTCTCAGAATGGTGCCAAAACCCAGGTATGGTGTCTGATATCAACAAAGGGAAGGATAAGCTGATCTCGTTTAGGAGGTGGATAGAAAATTTTAGCATGAATGTTTGAGACCTTTTGACTAGAATGCTTGAATGTATGAGGGTGAGGGTACCGTTTATATTTTTATAATAAAATAATTTTTTGACTGTTTAAAAAAGTATTATGTAATTTAAATTGTATTAAGTTAAATAATATTAACTATTAAATACAAGGAGTTCATTGATATCGGAGACACACTTCTATCTAATTACTCATGTTTTATAATTTGATATAATATAAATTGTAAAATAAAATATTCTTATATGAACTGATTTTGTATTAAAAATATTTTTGGGACATCCAAATTATTATGGATGATAAAGCTTATAAAAGCTCCATGTACTAATAATTATTCAAGAAAAAAAAATCATTTTTTTGTGCTACATATAATTATTGAACAAAGAAACTATCTTTCTTCGTGTTTTTCTCCCTCCTCTATTTTTTAATACATTTATTAAAACAATAAAATAAGAAAAATATAGTAGCATATCTCTAATAATTTTTTTGATTAAATAAATTATTTTATTAAAATAAAAAATAATGTCTCACTATACTAAAACAATTAATTAATCAACTAATTCAATCAATTTATTTCATTGATTTGTTTATTAAAGTTATCTTTTTCTATCCCAAAAAACTAAACAATATGAAAGAGAAAATATGTAATTCAGCATTTAGAAACTAAAATCATTGACTAAATAAATACTCAAATATTTTTTATCAAAAAAATTTTTGTTAATCAAATCGCTTTTTGAATTGAATGAAAAAAAATAAAAAATTAAAAGCCTAAAACAATTCAAAACTTAAAGGGAGAAGATCTTTGGGTTTGGGTTTAGTTAAGAACTTTGATTCTAGCTTAATTTATATGAAAAAAAAATTCATTTATTTAGATAATAATATTTTCATTTTTTTACAAAATATTTAATTAAGTCGTAATATTAAAATAATGGTTATAATAAAAATATTACAAATTGTATTAGTCTTGAATTGCTAAGTATGAAAAATTATAAAAATTATAAATAGTTAAATGAAAATAACTCTAAGTTTCACATGATAAATATAATATTTAAAAAACTAAATGAGCTAAAAATAATATATGTATCAAATTTGAAGATTTTCAAAAGTTGAGGGGGCGGTCACCCCCTCTCTCTGCCGCATGATATCTGAAAAAAATGAAAAAAAAAAAAAAGAAAAGGAAAAAAAAGGGAGAATGTGTTGATGGGAAAAAGGTTCTATAACTAACTAGGGCTTTGTTGTCCACTTACATAACCTTAGTTTGTAGTTAAGAGTTGAGGTGTGGATTTAATCGATGTAATACTAAATAACCAACTTCTGAGACAAGGCTGGATATGGTTGGAAGCAATTTGTAGACAAAAACTACTTCTTTCGAAAATTGTTTTTCCTTTAAAATTTCTACAGTGGGAACTATTTTAATTTGCTAAAGTCAGCACTTCTTCAAAATGATAAATTTTTTTTTTTTTTTGAACATGGAGAACTATAGGGGAAAAGGAATTTTTTTTCAAATAATTGGTGGAAATTAAACTCCCGACCGACTCAATCCAAGCACTAAGATTTAGGGATGAACCATTAGGCTTGAAATGCTGGTTCAAAATGATAAACTTTTTGGGTTGAATTTTTGTCCAAAAACTATTTCTAAATAGTAATACTAAGGGTCTAAGTATGGATTTAAATTTACATAATATTAAGTACCTAACTTTTGGGATGTGTTTGGTTACTTTTCAGGCAAAAATTAATGCCCTTGAGAACTACTACCCCTAGAAATTGTTGTATTGTAGAAACTACTTTTAGATTTTAATCAACTAAAATAGATATTTTCTTAAAAAAAGTAATCTTCTAAGATTTATTTTTGCTAAAAGGGATTTTTTATCCTGTATTCTAATTGTGTATTTATTATATTTTTTTTATCATTAATATTCATAATAAAATTAAAGAGTTAACATTACATTTGTCAATTATTTAATAAAAAATATTTATATATTAAAGATGTTAAAATTAATGCTAATTTTTTATTTTTATATGTAAATTAATACATTAAAATTACATTTAAAACTCTCTTATCTTGTATTTTAAAAGGCATATGTTAGACAAACTCTAATTAAAAATAGCTTCCGGACTGTTAGAGAGAGAGAGAGAGAGAGAGAGAGAGAGAACTAGCATAAAGATGCATTTTGCGGTCTTAATTACTTTCCCTGTGGAAAATGTCTTCTATCGTGCCAAACCCACTCTAACTTCTCTTCCCTTAACCTATTTTCTTTCAGAAGTTGCCAAACCCACAAGAAATGTAGATCCATAACGATAACAATCATTAAGCCTCCATGATAAAAAGCATGAAGGCTATGGCTATGTTTTAACGATATTTTGACTAATTAAAAGAGGCTACGCCAATAAAAGCATACCAAAAAAGGGCATATTTAGTCAAAGATCCTTGTTATAATAACCTAACCTATATCATCCAAATGCAAGGATCCTTTTCTAGTCAATTCGAACCAAACTTACTCTCATTGTCCCAAACTTGCTAATACACTAAAAAATTCTTAGTCCCCCCTTAAATGCCAAATACTTATAAAGACAAGTTATAATCAAAATTCAACTCTAAAAAGGCGGTTATGAGAAAATAATTTAATTAAAATTTTATTATAAATGATGTTTTTTTTTTATGAAACTAGAGAAATAAACCTACCCAAGTATGCAATGTATGTAAATTGATTCAGGATGTTACCGAATAACTAACACTAAAAAAACTTAAAAAAAATTAAAATATTGATTTTGGATTGAGTTCAAAAGTTTAAATTCTTATGATAATAAGAAGCTAACTCTTAATAAAAATAAAATAAAAAACACTAAAAAGCTTGAAATGAGAGAGAAAATACTGCTTCCTTCTTATAAACAAGTATAGAACCATGAAGCTAAGAAAGAAAGACTTCTGGAAGAACAATCTGATGAGTACGTTATGCCCTTCGATTAATAGGAATTTTGGACCTCTCTATGGGAAAAGGGGAATAATAGGTAGCATCAGAGAGTGATATTGGTGGTCCCTAATCATAGTATTCCTAAATATAGAGCCCCTTCCTCCTTCTTTTTTTTTTTTTTTTTTTTTAATGTAGTATAAAAGGGTACGCTGTATATAAATGCCATCATAGTAGTACATACAACGAAGAAAGGAACTTGAAAAAAACCTGCATTTATCGGAAGTCAAACCTTCAATTAATTCGCAAGTTGTGGTGCCTCAATTTTCGCCACTAGGCCACAAACGTCATTGGGTAAACATGGAGCACCACTCTCGTACATTCCCGCGCATGTTTCATTTGTATGATTCCTTTAAAAGGTTTCCCTGTGCATTATTCCCTTCACTTTAGGATAATAGAAGATTTTTTCTTTAGAATTTATTTTAAAATAATAATATTTTTTTTATATTTTAAAAAAGATAAATATTTTATTTTTTAATATATTTAATGATGAAATATATAAAAGAAGATGTGTTTATTCTTTTCTTAAATCTCTTTTTATCGAACTCAAAGTTTGAATTTAAAATTTTTAATTTAAAATATTAAATTTTTAATCAGTTAAATCATCCTCTTAAGGGCAATGAATATTTTATTTCTACTTTAACCTCATTATTATCTATTGACTTTAATTATCTATCTTATCTTAAAAAGTTTATTTTTTTTTGTTTTATTAAGGATCATATAGGTAAAAAATATAAGTTGTCCCCAAATGTTTAATTTGAATAATAAAATAAAAAAATCTATTATTATGCGTAACTATAGTTCGACAACCCACAATTAGATTTTTTTTACAATAAAAAAAGTTAAATATTAATTTTTTTATGAATCAAAGTAATTGTTTGGGTTAAGGGGAATGGAGGAGAGG